CCCTAGCAAGACCGCCCCTGCTGGTACCTGCTTTGGGTACAGGCTTCTGCAAAGGATGTCTGCAACCTAAAAGCAATCCTGAAAAGCAATAATCAAACCCACCCATTCATTCATGTCTCAGAAGAGGAAAAGGGCCTGGGGGGGATCCTTCTTTAAGGTCCACGTGAGTTAGTGAATTGACCCTAGAAGGAGAATTAGCACCCGGGTCTCCCCACATCTGTATGCCCCATTTATTGTGCCAAGCTGGGATAATGCTGGGACCCACCCCTGGGCTGCTTTTCCCATTCCCTGGCCTATGTCTTGTGGAAAAGGCCGTACCTAAAGGATCTACAGCAGGGGTGGGGGATGTCCCGCCCAGGGGCTGTATATTTGCCAAAGCATTAGGGTGAATTACTTAAACATTTGGCCAAATATAGCAGCCTAATTTTTAAGTTGATAATTTAAAAAAATATATTTTATTGATTTTTTTACAGAGAGGAAGGGAAAGGGATAGAGAGTTAGAAACATCAATGATAGAGAAGCATTGATCAGCTGCCTCCTGCACACCCCTTACTGGGGATGTGTCCGCAACCAAGGTACATGCCCTTGGCTGGAATCGAACCTGGGACCCTTCAGTCCGCAGGCCGACGCTCTATCCAGTGAGCCAAGCTGGTTTAGGCTAAGTTGATAATTTTGTATGGCCCTTCAATGATGTTATAAATATCCGAACGGCCCTCAGCAGTAAAAAAGTTTCCCCACCCTTGATCTAGAGTAGGGGTGTCGAACTCAATCAGAGAAGGGGCCAAAATCTAAAATCCAGCCTAAATCGTGGGCCGAATGGTTTACTGAACAGTCATAAACTGTCATTGTGATGGAAACGCAGCGGAGTGCAGTGATGACAGCGCGGTGCGGGCCACATTGCAAGGCCTGGCGGGACGGATTTGGCCTGCGGGCCTTGTGTTTGACACATGTGATCTAGAGGTACAAAAAAATCCCAGAAAAGCCACAGCAACATAGCTGAAGTCACACTTTGTTTTACGATGCCAGGAGCTTTCCAGGGTTGTACAGTGCCCAGCCTGAGAGACTGTATGGAGCAGTCCTGTTTTGACTTTACGGGAGTGATATCCTAACTGGAATTGGGCTACACGGTTTTATTTCAGCGTTGTGCAAGGAAAAAGCACAGGCTTTTGAGCTAGCAGATCTGGGTTTAAATCCGAGCTTGCGAGCTCCATGACATTACTAATCGTCAGCTTTTTTTTTTTTTTTTTAATCTAAAAATAAAGCTGTTAATACCTAGCTCAAGGATTGTCGTGAGAAATCAAATTTAATAGTCCATGCAAAACCCCTATGGAAAGCATATCAGGGCCTTGATAAATGTTCCCCTTCCTACAACTTAATTCCCTATTGCTCTCGTACACATACAGGTTTGAGTCCAAATAAAAGCCAGGCATTTCTGAGGTGAACCCTTCACTTAGGGACTCCTGGGTTTTGTCACAAGCTTAACATTAGCCAAATGAAATTTGGGCGTCTGTAGACCATGGGCCTGTCATAATCTTTTGCAGTGCAGTTGTAAAACTGAGCATTTCCTGGGGGGATAGGGCTGTGGGTTTCTAAGGAAAAAAAATCTGTGGGAGAAAACTAGAAAGACTGAAAAAATGAAGTCCTGTTTCTTTGAGGCTGGAAGCCCCTGGGATGGTGTGGGGGTTCGGAGGCTGCCCGCAGACAGACCCTGGCAGTGAAATCAGAGCCCCTCATTGTACCAACGACTTGGGTGTGCTTGGGGCGCTTTCAAATCGTTCTTTATTTGCCATTCGGGCAGGGACCAGAGACCCAGAAGCTTGTTTTCAAAATCTAGGAGAACAGATGTTTTTGCTTATTTTTCTCTCCCGTGGGCCAAAATGCTTACTGGAGTTTTCATTGGGTTCTAAACTTGCCTTTTCTCTTATTTTTCTTTTTCCTTTTAAGACAAATCATGGAAAAGGGTCATTGTAAAATGCAGGGGAAGGATGGGCATCTCAAACTGGGAAAGCTCTGCTTTTTTAGACCCTAATAAAAATGTGTCAGATTCTGCAGGCAAGGAGGCCTAGAAGACAAGAGAGAACGGGACGGACTGATTCAACTGTGGAAGGATCTCCCTGGCATCGTCCGCAGGCCTGCGATGCCCAGTGCCTCCCTGGCAGACTGGATAAGAAAGCCAGCACTGCCTTCTCCTCTGAGGAACCATCTGCATTGCATCTAACTGAGCAAGGCCCGTGGAAGGGCTGCCTTGATTAAACATGCTGTGTAGTACATGAGGCCAGGGCCACACAGTCCCTGAACTCTATAGCCAGCTCCGACATTTTACATACTGTATTGGTTTCCTATTGTTGCTGTAACACATCACCACAAATGTAGTGGCTTAAACCAACACGTATTTATGACCTTACAGTCTGTAGGTCAGGGGTCTGACATGGTCTCCCTAGGCTGCAATCTAGGAGTCAGCAGGGTCAGGTTCCTTTCTGGAAGCTCCGTGAGAGAATTCCTTCTCTGTCCTTATCTTTCCCAGCTTCTAGAGGCTGCCCACATTCCTTGGCTTGTGCTCCTCTTCCTCCGGCCTCAAAGCCGGCAACGGCAGGTTGAGTCCTCTTAACTGCATCACTCAATCTCTTCCTGTTTTTCTCTTCCACTTTCAGGGATCCTTGTGGCTCCACCGGGCCGGCCTCCTAGTAACCCAGGATAATTGCCCTCACTTAGGGTCAGCTGATTAGCTCCTGAACTCCATGGCAACCTTAATTCCCCTTTGCCATGTTAGGTAACGTGTTTTCAGGTTCCAAGAATTGGAGCATTACCATCTTGGGGGTGGGGAGAGATCATTGCCTATTGTAGGCATGCAGGTCATTTCTACATTAAATGCAATACGTATTAGGTCTCATTGAGATGCAAGAAGCAGGAGCTGACTTAAGCTGATAAAAGAAAGGTTTTTGTTTTTGTTTTCTGGTTTATGCACTTGGAAGGAACATGTGACTGACTTGATCCCCATGTCCAACAGTGTCATCAAGGCATTCTGATCCTTGGCTTTCTTGGCGGGGGTTTGATTTTCAAGCCAGGTTATTTGTGTGGTGGCTAAGACAGTTCCCAGGCAATTCGGATGCTGTTACCAAAACAAAGAGGAAAAAGCCGAACAGGCAAAACCATTGGTGTCCACTGCACCATCTTACTGCTGTCCATTTCACCATCTCATTGCTGGATTTCAGAACCATACCATAGATATATTATTCTAGTTGAGAAGGCATTTGGCTTTAAGCAACAAAACACTCAACCTTGAAAGAGTACAGAAAAAGGGTCGCCCACAGCCAGAAAGTTGGAAGTTAATTCAGGTAGTATATAAACAGGAATTGCATGGTGGTTAAGAGTATGTGTTTTGGAACCAGTCTGCTTGGGTTTATATCCAATCTATTGGTTGTGTTTACTTGAAATCTCTGGGCCTCAGTTTTCTCATCTGTAAAATGGGGTTAATCATAGTACCCACATCATGAACTTGTTGTGAGGTTTAAATATGTAAATACAGATAAAGTGCTTTATAGTACAATGACAAACATTCAATAAAAAATAGCTTTAATAATTATTATTATTGTTATAGTATTACTATTGTTATTACAAATAACTTCCTGAGGATGGCTTAGGAACTTGGAAAGCAGTTAGGAACCAGATACTTAATTGGTTTCTCTTTTTCTCACAGTCTCTATCTCTGGAACTTTCTCTCTCAAACCTCATCGGGGAACTGAGATTCTCACCTGTAACATGGACTTTTACATGGCTTTTAGTTGCCTTGACCACATGTCCACCACCAAATAAATGCTGGGTCAGAGTTTTCCGAGTTCAGAGTCTTGAGAGAAGCTGATTGGTCTGGGCCAAGACTGGCTTTGAATAAGAATGCACCTTGTGTAATTAATTAGCTGTGACTGCCCAGGTGACTTTGTACTCAGGGCTTACCTCTTTCGGTAGGCATGGAAGAGGCAGCTTAAGCTGAAGGAGGAAAGGCTAAACCAGAAAATTGGCCAACTTGTCTTATATGTACGCTGTAGCAAATTGGAATTTTCCTATAGCCCAAAAGAATCGGTTTCAAAAACTAATGGTTATAGCTAGGTGTTTGGGAATAGGACAGCATTGGGAACTGCTCTGTTCTGATGTCATTTAGCCTGTGGTATTTAGCCTGACCAATTTGCAGAAAAATTGGTCATTCTCCTGTTAATGATAAATGGTAGGGACATTTTCAGTCCAGTTAGAAATGCTCATTGGATGGATAAAAATACTTACCCCACCCCGAGGAGCATTGATCCCAGAACCTCATTTCTAGAAATACAAGTTCCTAGGGGTGGAGGGGCCCCTGCTCACACTCACTGTCAGGAGAGTAGATTCCAGAGTGACCAGGGATGCCCCCAGAAATCTTCCCTTTGGTAACAGGAAGAAAATTCCACCTTGGCCTTTTGTTCACTGTGCCCCTTCTCACCCCTGAGCCCCCATGTTTTTCCCAGCATTCCCAGTCCAAGGTGTTCTCTACATACAGTGGTTTCTGCCTTCAGAGCACTTGTCCCTCTCTCCAAGGACTTTAGTGAGCATCTTTCTGGGGAAGTAGTTCCACAGTGATGGGGAAAGAGGTATTGACTGATGGAATGTCTTAGCTCTGAGGCATTCCAGGAAGGGTGGGAATGCTTCGGATTTGGGCGGAGCATCTTAGGAAGCCATGAAGTTTGGGGGAAGACAAAGCATTGTGAAGATTTTGATGGAAGTCTGCTGGGAAAGTCTCCACCTCAAAGACTAGTGTGCCCCTTTCTAGTTGAACCATTTGCAGGCTCCACACCGGCTCTCCAATGGATTGGTTTTGAAGCGGTCAACAAAAAAGCATCCCGCTGCCAGGGCCAACCATCAAAAGGAGAAAAGAGAGCCATGCAAACCTGGGGGAATGTGCGAGAGAGGGATATTGCAGGACAGAAAGGGGCACTGCTGGCCTGATGACATACATGTGTGTTATCTCCCCCAAGGACCCCGTGGTTTAATGGATGGGGCTTTAACCTACCCAGAGGTCAGTCTCTGCTGGACAAATGGAACCTCATTCCTGAGGGCATCGACATTCTCATGACACATGGACCTCCTCTAGGTAAGTGAAGCAAAGGTTTTCCTTTTGTGGTACAAGACACCTTTTTTCCCCAGGCATAATGAATAAATGTTTCAGGGACATAATATTGTTTAAGTGACTACAAAAAGAAAAGTGTGGATGTCTTTAAAGAAGCCCAGTATGATAATTAAACTCAGCAGTTCTGCTGGGCTTACAGGTGTTCTTGAAATTAAATTTTTAAGTCAGGGAAAATCAAATGAGTATGGAGCGCCACAGTCTTTTGAGCTCGATAATTTATTTTAAGAAGTGTATTCACTTTGGAGTAAGGGGATGGGGAATGGAAGGAAGACAGGAATTTTTCAATCATGGGGCTTTTGCTTGGTAGTGAAATGAAGGAAACTTTTGCGTAAAGGAGCTCTTTATTTTTTCCCCCATATCATAGTATACTTGGGAAATCTTTAAAGTTTGCTGATTATGTGAGAAAAGGACCTTTTCATTATTTCTTTTGGCTAAGGTGTTACATGTTAGATTGAATTTTACTTAAGGATGCTCAGCCTCTACATATATGGAGCCCGCATCCAGGTGTAGATTGCCTGGGTGCTTCCAGGCCACCTTTGGTTACCCAGATTATAGGTCAAAAGGCAAAAGCTGACCATTTAATTTACATAATATCCTCTATTTATTCATGAGCTTGTGAATGGTATGGCTTAGCCACACAGATTTTTCCAAACATGACTACCACCTTAACCCCCCATCTACTCAGGACCCTCCCTCGTCAAACTAAGTTGTGCTCAGAAAGTTCAGGTGCTTCCCTTTTAGTAGGAGAATTTTCTTTCCAAATTGTGGTAAAAACAAACAAACACATACCCTCTTAGCAAATGTGTAGGTGTACTAGAAAAGTTTTCTCAAGCACATTGATTTGGAAAGTGGAGGCTGGGGAACACTTACTACAGAAATAAGTGATTTTACCAACTTTTTCCCTGTGGTTTGGGGTCCTTACCCATGTCACTTTCACTTTCTTCCTCTATGAGCCCCCAAAATAAAAATCTTAACAGTCATCCCCTTATAAGAATTTAATCTTTGTGGATATTTTCGCCAGCAAACAGCTGAGTGCTGCTTTCCCACCATTACAGTGTTCTGTGTGCCACAAGGACATGGCAGAAGGGCAAGCCAGGCCATGAGCTGGTGGCACATTTCAATGCTGGAAAAGCAGGAGAAGGGCGCCAGGTCTGTTGCAGATGGGCGAGCGTAGATTTGTACACTTCTATCGTTTTCAGTGCTTCAGAACCACCACGCCCATGCTTTTTCCCTCTTCCAGAGTACCCCATCCCATAGTTTAAAAGATTTTACTTATGTACAATCTTTATCAAGTCAAAACTAATTCATTTCCATATTTTGCAACATTAGAGACTACAGCTGTAAGTTGCTGTAGTGAAATATCTGAGTTACCCAGTGAGATCCTCCAGCGATGGCATCCCAGCCAACTTGGTGCTTTCCCCAAGCAGCCTAGTTGGGTACAGGCATGATTCCCCATTGGCTGTTTACTGAAAGGGACTTGGGCATCCTCAGCATTTACATGCCTGAAGTTTTATTCAGAATATAACTTTGGACAGATGGAGTGATCCACAGATTTCATTAAGTCATTAATCTTGGTGCAAAAGTAAGTGGCAATATCAGTGAGTCTGAATTCTAGCCTCCTAAGAATTCAGGTGTCCTTATAAGTGAGGCTACCATCTCTCTCTTTGTAGTAAAAACGAAGTGTCCAGAGAGTGGCTGTAGAGTCCAGTAAACTCTGGAGTTCCAAAATAAAAGTACAGTGATTGGAATTGTTATGCAAATGCTGGATTGGGAGGTGGGAGTGGGGGTTGGAGGTTGACCTTGAAATTTCCCGTTGGGGGAGGGGAAGCCACCACAATATAGGACTTTACTATTATGTTGTGAGCAAGGTGTTTTCTCTGGATATTATATATGAAATGAGATCTCTACCCCCTTCAAGAAAAACACATCCACGAAAGAACAGGGAATATGCCAGCCAGTTGCTGTGAACTAAGAACTTTCTCCTCTCATTAACAAAGTTTAAAACCCACGATAGGGTTTTTGTGGGGCCCCCACTTTTATCTGATGTTCTTCCCAGACTCTCTAGCCATTGCCCACACTCCAGGGAATGTGTCTTTGCAGAGATGCTAAATCTTCATTTCCCCAGTCTCGCCAAAGTGGGATAAACTTGTCTGTCCCTTTGTGCTGGATCATTTCTAAATAATAGAAATCACCTAATGGAGGTATGGAATGGATTCCCACTGATTATGATTTAGCCTTTCATCCCACCTGCCTTCTTGATGCCCCATCCTGTTGAGGCATGTGGATCATAATCATTCAAATAGCTGACTTTTGCTATAAATGATGTCAGTTTTTATGGATTTTCTGCATTAAGTGTAGAACTAAGTGGCTTTTACATAAGGATAGGCAATTAGCCCTGGCGCCCTGCTTGCCATCGCAAGGTCACCATTGTTGCCTATCGTTAGAGAGGAGGCTGGAGGAGGAGGAACATGGCATTCCCAAGCTTAGGTCATCAGAAACCTCGAAGGGTTAAGAGTCGATGTGTCTAAAGAGAGCAAGGTATCCTGTGGCCAGTTGGCAGGCAGTGCCTCCCACATTGTCTTCTCCGAATTATCTTGGAAGTAAACTGCTAAGGTATAATCAAAAAGGAAAGGAACGGAATTGGGAGACAAAGAGATATTATGGAACTGCCCGGAATAAATGTCATTGGGCCCATGAAGAAGATTTGAAACCCATGGTTGAATAAATCAAATCCCTCACAAGGGGGGGCGGGGGGAGTTAATTAACAGGAAGCGGGGGGGGGGGGGGAAGAAAAAGGAAACCCCAAAATTTTTTTTTCAAGAACCTAAAGAAGACAAAGTGATGAGTGAAAGTCCTTAAAAGCCATTGTGAGCTTTAATGGGGAGGCTAGGATTACAGATAATGTAATAAACCTTCTGTGAGTTATGGCTTCCTGAAAGTCTAAATGAAGCCTTACCTGAAGAAAGAAAATGAAGAGTATTGATTGCATTTTGCCCTTAGGTTTTCGAGACTGGGTTCCAAAGGAGCTTCAGAGAGTGGGCTGCGTGGAGCTCTTAAACACAGTGCAGAGGCGAGTCCGGCCCAAGCTCCACGTGTTTGGCGGAATTCACGAAGGTAAGACCAGAAGAAAGGAGTTCATGACATGTTATGTCATGACCCGTGATCTCCTTCCACAGTGGGGATCTTGGCCGCCCGGGGAGTCACTGGAGCAGTGGTTTTCAAACTCTTTCTACCAGCGGAACCCTTTCATCACATAAAATGTTAGGAGAAACACCTGAACATAAGCTGATAAATATTTTATATGGAGCCACTCTATTTTAAACAGAGAGAAGGAACCAGGTGTCTGGCCCACCTTATATTGGTAGAAAACCCAGACTTCTCCCAGACAGCTTCTGGGGTTTGGGGTTCTGATGATGAATTTTTGTAACTACTGCAGTAGAACAGCCGTGAAGTATAAGTCTTCAAGCTTGTTAGACTACTAATAAATAACTCCCATGGCCTCTTCTTACTTTTGCATACCGAGTTTCACAGCAACTTAGGAAAACAAGACAGTCTTCAAAAACTAACCAGCATGACTCAGTGGTTGAGCATGGATCTGTGAACCAGGAGGTCATGGTTCAATTCCTGATCAGGGCACATGCCTGGGTTGTGGGTTTGACCCCATGTGGGGGGAATGCAGGAGGCAGCCAATCATTGTTTCTCTCTTGTCACTGATGTTTCTATCTCTCTCACCCTCTCCCTTCCTCTCTGAAATAAACACACACACACATACACACAGGCTTTGGACATGCAGAGAGAGCTGTAGAACGAAGTGGCAGGTACCAGTACATTTGCACGTAGAAATTTTCTTGCTAACCTCAGGAAACCATTTCAGACTTCTCAGAAATCGTTAGCACTATTAGCTCCGGCTGAGGTTAAACAGAATAATTAAATCTCCCCTAAATGGGAACTGGTCCAGTTACCCGTTTTCTGCTTTTCCGAGTAAGCTGGAGTCAAGTTCACGGAACTTGAAAGGGACCTTCACTAGGTTTTGTCTGTCCTCCGTTTTTGCAAACCAGTGGGAACTGAGCCCTCTTTCCTGGGCCTTTGATTTTCTGGCCCTGCTGCACTCTCCCAGTTACACACGTCTTGTGCATAGGGTATGTGTACTGAGGCAACCACCATATTCTCTCCATCTCCTGTGCATAGCTGTTCTCTAAAGTTATTCAGAAATCTGCATTTGAGGTGTTTAGGTCTGTGTGCCCGACGAAGCAAAAACAAACCCACAAATATGTTTGCTTTTCAAAGCCCACAAATCCAGTGCCTTCCTGGTTTAGGCAGATAATAAAGAGCATATTGGAAGCCATTCTACTGAGGCCAGAGAGAGTAAGCGAGCTCCAAGGGCAAGCCCCAGCTGAGTGGATAGAAAGCAGAGGTGCAGCTCCCCAAGGGTGGTGTCACCCTGCCCTGACTGAGCTGTGGGAGCACACCTCTCTCTAAGGCTTGATGCATGATGTGGGGTTGGGGACATGGGAGTTCATGTCTAAACAGCATTTCTAGGGGCAGTGATAAAGTTTGGATTCCTGCAGCATGCCTATGGGTTTGCATTTCAGCTTTTTTTTTTTTTTTTTTTTTAATCATTTATTAGCTTTAAACTATCCAGACAATTGGGGAATTCCACTGAAGTCCCAAAATAATAACCTTGCTTAAAGAGAAAAGAGATCATATTCAAATAAACTTGTCTCGATTTTATTCGCTTAAGACAGCCAAAGAGGGCAGAGAGAGGGCAAATACCAGCCTCTTGATGGAGAGAGATAACAAGACTTTCTGACCCCAGAACTAAACAGTGCACAGTTTAAATGCCTCTTTTCTTTTCTTAAGAGAGTTTTCCATTGACCCTCATTAAGCTCTCCACAGGCTCACTTGGAGAAATTGTAGCAATTTGAAAGGGAGAGAGAGACGAAAAAAAAAAGAAAAAGAAATCCTTTTCAGTTATTTCTGTAAGTCCTGGTCATTTTATTTTTGCAAAGGCATATTTTTTAGCGCCGTGAAGCCTGATAGCAACATAGAGTTACACACTTCATTGCAGTGGCTCTCAGCAAACAAGGTAGCCAGGGAAATGTGCAAATCTGCAAACATGCTGAAACTTCCAACGTGTTAAACATTATAAAAGGATTTGTACATACCAAAGACCCAGAGAAACTGTCCTAGCTCTCTTCCAGTAGGTCACAGGGGATTTACTGCCCATGGGAAGTGTTTTAGTGTAAGCTGGTGTCCAGGTGAGCTTAAGAAGCTGTGTCTTATGTGATGTTCCTCCCAGTCACTTGGACCTTTGATTACTTGACTCTTGAATGAAATGGAATTCAGATCCAAGCCACACAGTTCAAGTAAGATAGGGCCCCTTCTTGTTTTCTTCCTTGGAGGCAGTGTAGATATTATTTCATAGCCTCCTCTCCTCCTTCATTCGTCTGGAAGTCTAGTGGGGTGTGGGTGGCTGTGTCCCTGAGTTTATGTTACTTATTCAGCCCCTAGAACTCAGCAGTTCTTGGGCATAAGGCTTTGAAATGAAAATCCTATTCTGAAAAGAGGGGGAAATTTTTTTATATTTTTACATTCTCCCTAGTAAAGGCATTTGACAGCCCTTTTCCTGACAGATCTAGTATTTAAATAAGGGAGGTGGGAGGAGACACTTTTCTTTGAAGTAGAGAATTCTCCTTTTTAAGAAAGTAGAATAAAATCTGGAGGCCGCTTCTGAAAGCAATTATGTCTGAGGAGGCTCCAGTGAATGTCGTCTCACTTCCCACTGGCAAAGATTGTTTTTGTTTTGTTTTCCTTGCCTGATGGCCCTGCATTGAGTCACTGTTATCTGTGTATATGGCAGTAAGCGTGACACTGTCTCCCCACAGGTTACGGCATCATGACCGACGGTTACACAACCTACATCAATGCCTCAACGTGTACAGTCAGCTTTCAACCGACCAACCCTCCAATTATATTTGACCTTCCAAACCCACAGAATTCCTGAAGCTCTGGATGCCCAACTGGAATGTGAAGGAAGGTCTATAAACTGCCATTTTTTCTAATTATACATTTACATTCTCTGACTTTGTTTATTTCCAAATCCTGTGAGTTCTTTTTGTAAATTGCTGGAACAACAACAACAAAAAATGATACTAGAGGTTGTGCTTCTTCTTTATTATTATTATTTTTTAATGGGGTATCCATTTGAAATCAGAGGAGCATTGTGAATTTGTAAAATGACTTCTGTTTTCTCAAAGGCCACGCCATTGTAAATTGTTAGTGCTCGCCAAAGGACAGCCAAGCTTTCTTTTTAAAAGGTGATAAAAAAAAAAAAAAGTCTTATTTTAATATGCTTTAAGCTGGAAGAAAGAAGAAAACAGGTAGGCAGTGTTTTAAAAACCAACCAGATTTGCACAACTGTTTAAGAGTATTGTTTGAACTGTTTTATTATTTTATTATGTTCTGTTATTATTGTTTTCTTGGTCATGCTTCTTTTCTGCAGATGGGGCCCAGATTTATGTGAATCTTTCAACAAAAGAAATAGGCTTCCCCTCACACTCTCCCTCGAAAGAAAGTTGTGTCAAGGGAAGAAACCAGCCCACGTTTTAAAGGATGGCTTAGCTAGTGAGATCCATACTGTGGCTATACAAGGCCTCCTTGTTTGTTGCTTTTAAATTATTTTAGCTTTAAGAATATGGAAATGGAATCTGTCAAGAGCAGGTATTTCATGCAGTGCAGAAAAAGAGTGTGCAAGACTCCTTTTTAAATATGGGTTTATATATATATATAAGTATTTTTTTGTGTATTATGACTAAGTTAGGAGTTTACTATTGCCAAGGATGGTAGAGCTGCAAGGGATGCTGTATAGCAAGGCATCCGAAGGCTGAGGAGCTCACACACTTTCTCAGAACTCAAGGTCTTAAAGAGCTTGAGTCAAATCTAGGTACAGTTACAGGCGTGTATAGACTTAAATGGATGCAATGGAAGCTAACGAAAATAAGGCTTAGTTGTCCTTTATATTTAAATGCCCTGAATTGTCTTCTTACTTCCTCTCCCTCCCCCCATTTTGCACTGTGTGTCGATGCAATCTTCGCTAGCACAAAATATTGTCGCTAATAGTCATTTCTGTTTTCCCATTGTAAATGCTGTTGAGCTTTATTCTATTTTATGTTACCTTGTTAATGAAATTTAGGAAAGCAGCTGTTTCTTTAAATTTATTGTGATATTCTATATCTAGCGGCCTTTATATGCAAATAAAATTGCAAGATTTTTAAAACTGTGCTGCTCGGAGGGTTGGCTGGTGGGAGGATGGTGACTGAGCCCCGTGGAAGGGGGAAAGAGGTTATTTATATGCAACATCAGTGCTCCCTTTTAAAAGAATTAGAATCAGCGGCATTTTTTTCTAATTTTCAATAAATTTTTATTACCCACCATTCATGGGCTGTCAGGTGGATCGATAAGGCACTCAGTGTACTTTCTCCTTCCATCATGCTGTCATCCATCTTGCCATAGGTTTCAAAGGGTCAAGATTTCTCTTTGGCCATTGTCATTTCCGTGGGAACAGAGTGACCGTGAAGTGGAGTCTGGAGCCTCCATTGTGCACTGGAGTGGTCCTGAGAAAGCAAACCAGGGGGTAATAGAGTAACCGCTCCACATTTCCATTTGTCCCCAGGAGAGCTGTCATCTCCCCCATTTTTTTTTAATGATGTGTGCCACTAAGATGCTGCAGCAGCTGGGAGGTGGCAGGCAGTGCGACAGGGAAAACGGTGTTACCTTTTTTCATTTTCTCTGAAGAGCCACTGAAGAAGAGCAATATGATTTTGAATCTCCAATAGATCCCCAAAGTCTACGTTCCAGTGCCCGTGCAGCTGCATTCATCCACATCTCCTGTCCTTCCCACCCACTAGAGATTCTTTGGGGGTAATTCCAGAAAATCATTCTTGATTTCAATAGCAGCAGAATAGGAAGAATGTTCTAGGCCAAAAGTCCAGCTCAGACTCACATAGAGTCATCTCGAGTTGTCTTAGTTCCACCGAGAGCCTGCGGTGGACACTGTCTGAGCCAGCAGAGCAGACACCCCAGCTTCCCACCCAGAGGTGGTTCACGACCACAGAAAGCAGCTAAGACTGTGAGCAGTGAACCCTCCTCTCACCGGCTCCATCAGCAGGAGAGGCTGTGGCTTCAGGCCCATTCCAGGGAGCCGGAGTGAGAGGTTGACTGAGTGGCTATTTCATCCAGTCGCTGTACCAAGGAACTAGGCTCAGGCTTCTGGAAAAGCAGGCTTTCCAGAAACGGGCTGATCATGATGACAGGTGTGCGTCCACAGCCCTTGAAAGCATGTCTGGACACAAACTAATTAAGCTTAGCACTTACTAAAATTGCTTTCCACTGTGTGGGGGCAGGAAGCAGCCAGTCTGCAGAATCTACAAGGTCAGAGACAGAGCTCCTTTCAGCCGCCCCAGGTTCATCACTTCCTAGGCACGAACTGCCTCCAGCAGGCCAGAACGACTGTCCCAAGGCCGCCGGCTGACTCCGCTGGGCCTTGGAACAAGGAATCCTTAGAAATGGCTTTGACAGACTTTCTGTCTTTCCATTACCAGGCAACTTGGCTGAGCTCGCCTCAGATTTTGTTTCTAATCCTCGCAAAACCCTGGGAGAGGTTACCTAAGCCTCCCTTTATAGATAGGAAACTTAGGCTCCAAGAGTTGAATAACGTTCTCTAGGAAAGTAGAAGGTTCAAAACCAGGTCTGTCTGACTCCGGAATTCATGCCCTTTTCGTCACCCTGTCCCTGGAGCAGAAATCGGAGCTGAAAGAACACGGGCTATTTCTTATCAGCATAGCTTTGTGATAACCTCAGGGCCAACCGCCTCCTCCCTGCCTGCAGCAGAGCCCAGTGGCCAAGAGCATCGAGCCTAGACTCCGCCTCTGACCAGCACCCTGCAGCTTGGCCAGGTACGTACGGTCTCGGAGGTGATGGTGCAATTGTTGTCACTTGTAATATGAGTTCATGTTTGGAGATCACTGCCCAGCATCCAGGAATGGTGCATGTGTGTGTGTTAAACGAGGTGCCCCCATCTGCCTTGAGATTCTCTGGGCAGGACCTGTCTGTGGGCTCGTCCCCCTCCAGGGCACAGTGGTGCTATTTCTGAGAAATTGTGTTTGTTTGCATTCCTTGGAAGCCGTACTGACCCTCCCTTCATAAAGATATGAAGAAGCCCAAGGACATTTGCAAGAGGCAGATAAGAGGGCCTGACTTTTAGGTTTGGGTATCCTCGTTTGCAAAATCCCTTCTAATCTCTGAATAGGAAGGGGCCTGTCTTCTTTCATGTTGCTTTAAATGGCACCCTTGGATCTTAGCATCTCTCTCCCCTTCAAGATCTCACCATCTCCTGCAAGCTCAATTGGTGAACTTTTTTCCTCCCAATCCTCTTTTGTCTTATAAAGATGCTGGCTGCCGGGGGTTGCCGAAATCCCTTTAAGAGGCAGGGTACTGTTATTCCGACAGGTGGCCAGCGTTAAGCCTGCCTTCATCTCCATCACTTAAGTAAATAAATACTGTGACCCAGGTCCTAAGTAGGGAGAAACAGAAGCTCAGAGGATTTGGGATCTGTCAGTTGCAGATAAAATACTTGCTGTGTCCAGACTACTGCTCCTCTCCCCAAACCGTTATCCTGCAAGGAATTGCTGTTTTGACAGAGTCCACATCCATATATTATTTTTGTTTCCCAGTATCTTTTCATGCCCTATTCTCACTTCCCTAAAAGTTTTGGGCACATTTTGTTGAATTGTTAAACCAGCGTGAGTTGCTTTGTGCTTTGTTTTGAGAAGTTGACTAGGAGCTGAGGCATTTGGGAACACTGCTTAGCAGAGGGTAGAGGGCCCATGTGTTGAGAGTTCCAGGACTGGACAGCCTTTACTTCTCTGAATCTAAATGGGTGGCTTCACAGGCGGTTTCAGACTCATTTCTGCATGTCAGCTTCTTAGGGAAGTAGGAGGATCGCTGTAAGCGTGCTCATGGCTCCTCCAGAAGTTCAGTGCTACTCTCTCTTCCTTTTGAAGATGTCACCTCTACCTCTCTGTCTCTATCCTTTTCTTTTTTTTTCCATTTTTTGTTTTAAATATATATTTATTTCAGAGAGGAAGGGAAAGGGAGAGAGATAGAAACATCAATGATGAGAGAGAATCATTGATTGGCTGCCTCCTGCATGCCCCCCACTGGGTATCTTAGCCTGCAACCTGCGCATATGCCCTGACGGGAAATCGAACCGGTAACCTCTTGGTTCTGGGGTCGACGCTCAACTGCTGAGCCACACCAGGCTGGGCTATCTTATCTTTTCACAGAAGAGAAAACCTCTGATTCAAATGCCTCTCTGACAAGGCTCCCTTTTTCCCGGTGCCCGTATGAAGTCAGCCTCTGCAGCTCATGAGAAGTTCAGAGAAGGTCAGTGGCACCACCATGGTCACACAGCAAATCAAAGAGAGAGCCCCACATTGGCATTGTTGGTCATGAACTGCTTTTTCAGCTTGTCATTCAGGCATAGTTGGATGGAGAGATCTGTTTGGCCAGACATAATGTGATTTTATAGCAGAGACCACTTATCTGTGGCTTATTATTATTAAACCAAATTATTTGAAAAAAAAACACCTTAGAATCTGACCTCTGAGTGCTCCTGTCAAGCAGTCCATCCACAACAACTCTGATGGGCACCCAGCTCCTCCTCCTGAAAGAGAGATGGATGCATGGTTTCTGCCTTGTCTAACTCTGAACCTGGACAGCTCTTAGTCATGTGATTTAACATGCATCTGTATATCCAGTCTGGAAGACAATGGGGTCGTAAGAGTGCTCCACACCTATAGAATGGGGATAATTCCTACTTCACAATGGATGTCAGAGTTGATATGATAATATCAATAGGGTCCTGGGCCCACTGAGCTATTAAATAAATGGAAGATTTTATTATGTTGTCAATCATAATAACCTTTAAAAAAGAAAACACAGCAAAAAGAAGCCTTTAGCTTACTTTTCTGGGTTAGAGTCCTTCACAAGAGAAAGTGAATTCCTCAAACTGGACTGAGTTAGGATAATGGAGCTGCAAACTCAAGCCTAACATAAATTGAACTCTTTAAATTTCTGTCTGTCTGTCTGTCTCTCTCTCTCTCAGAACTACAGGACAAAACATTTGTGGTGGGTTCTTCTTGACTCCTCACTTCCTTCCTGAATTAGGAATGCCTTATAAGACAAAGATGTTGAGGTAAATGGCCTTTTAGATCCGAGAGCATCTATATCTGGGTAATGGTGAGAGTGAGAAATGCATTTCCATTAGGAAGCACAGCCACAGTGGTACTAAAAGCCCGGGCAGACTAAACACATGGAGGCAGAGGGCCTGTGCCCATCAATCAGCTTTGATTTTTATGAAGCCACAGTTACCATGAGGTGCATCTGAATGCTCTCAGAGCCCGCTTACCAAGGGGAAGGGCCTGAGATTTCATAGCCCATTTCTGTCCTGACCTGAGTGGCTGACCTTGGCAATAGGTTGAGCTTTGCAGTAGAAGATCCTGAAATAGCAAATGACTTGGAACCTCCACACTTGGGCTCACTAACATGCCCTTTCACATACCAGCTATAATGCTTAGTTAACAACAAGCTTAAAGGGACTAATACTTTCTAGAAGCCTTCCCTGAATTCCCCTACCCATACCCAGAACAGCACCCTTTGATACTCTCCTAGCCCC